GAAGTATTCTTGATCCCCCTCTTCCCAAGCTCTGTTGTGGCGTTAGGTGCTATTGACTATTCTGCCCTGAAAATCCCCACGTCCTATGGCTTCTGTGAGCTCCAAGACCTTGGCTCTGACTCTGAGTCCTCTGGCTTCTCTTACTTCTCACCCCTCTAAAACTAGACACCCCCAATGTTCTGTTCTCAGCCTTTTGTTTTATCTGGTGGGTCTTCTCTATCTGTCTAACATTCCTTGAAGTATCACTTTTTGGAAGATGATGCTCTGATTATTATATTTACCTTATTTTCTTCTAAGCTGTTTTTCTTTATTTCCAAATATTTAATTACAACCTATTGGCATCAGAGAGTCCTCACCATTAAAATCCTTCTCTTAACTCCTCTATTGTCATTACAAGAAGCACCTTTCATCCAGGTACCAGGAGTGATTTTTTGGATATCTTTTTTTTCTGCATATCTGCCATCTTTTTCATTGCTAAACAAGTTCTGTACATTCTTCTTCCCCAATTTCACTCAGATCTGTCTCCTTTTATCCCATTTGTATCACCCCCAACTTAATTCAGATTCTCACTTATTTCTTGTATTGATGATTGGGATAGAATACTAAAAGATGGCCCTTTCTCCATAGCTTTCCTTTAGAATCCATCATTCACACTAAGTTGGTCCTAATTGCACCATTTCCTCAATTAAGTATTTTAGAAGCTACTCTTTATCTATGTCCTGCACCTGTTCTGCACGTACGCCCATCCTTTCTTTAACTCTGGCACTCATTTGCCAGAAAGTTCTCCTTAAAGTTCTCCTTTCTTATACATGCTCAGTCTTCAATTTAAATAGGTCAGCTCACCAATCCCCAAACAAACCCAGACATTCATGCTCTGTCTTTGCCTTTGATGTTCCTTCTTCATAAATATCCTTTTTCTTGTTCACCTGTTGAAATCATACCTGTCCTTCATGGCACACCTTAACAATAAGTTTTGTATTTTTCAGTAGACACGGGGTTTCACCACGTTGATCAGGCTGGTCTCAAACTCCTGGCCTCAATCCACCTGCCTTGGCCTCCCAAAGTCCTAGGATTATAGGGGTGAGCCACTACGCCTAGCCATGAATTCTGTCTTTTATCTGTCTCATCAAAACACAAGATTCTAGAAAGTCAAAGACAGCCCTACCTCCTGAATCCAGGAGAATCAAGGCCCACAATGGGTTGATCCTTGGTCTACATAGAGTCCAAGAACTAGCATTACACAGTCTGGGAGGTCAGGGATTATGTCAACACAGAGCCAGACTTGTTGGGGGCAAGGAGATGTCAGATATCTATCTTGCCATCAGGAGGGTATTTGGAATTCTATCATCTTTAGCTGTACTGGTATTATCTTCCATGATATTCATTTAAACATTCATTCATTCATTCGTATATTTAACAGATTAATAGATATTTATTGAGTCCCAATTATGTTAGTATTCAGGTATGACACCGAATGCTGGAGATACAATGGTGAACAAGAGAGAAGAGGTGCCTATCTTCAGGGAATTCCAGTGAGGAAGACAGGCAGTGAGGAAGGAGATCTTCTTCACTGTTTTATAGGAAGGGAGGAAGAATAGTATCTGGTGAGTCAAATATCCAAGTGAATATGTCACGTAGGCTCCTTATTGCTTTTTTCCTTGTAAATACTATTATGTTGATTCATTTTTTCTTTTCTTTAAAGAAAATATATGCATTCAAATAAGTCAAATAAAATCTGGTATTAGAACTAAGCTGTCCCTGAATTGAAGGATTTTTCTTTGCAAAACTAATATTTGTGGCAACTTTTCCCTCAATTAGAGCACATAGTGATTGGGGGAAATGGAGACAAGAAGACAAAGAAAAGGAATTGAAGCTATATGTTAATCTAAAACCAAAGGCAGACTAAGAGTGAATGAATTGCACAAACAACCTAGAAAACCTACATATTTAAAATTGTTCAGTATTAGAATTATCAGGACCATTTAAAAATATCGTATGTACAGCCCCCAAAAAACTTTATTCCTGTTCTTATCTAATCTTTTGAAATATGTGTTAAAATCCGTTAAAATTATTTTAGCCCATGTAAGGACTAGAAGCTCCATGGAAGTCATTAATGTTGTTCTGAGACACTGTGGGCTTTCTCCCTCCAGGCACATAGTAGCATTGCTCTTCATGACCTGGGAAGCTGGATGTGGCTGTGGAACTTGCTTTAGGAAATGAGAAGAATGTGGAAGTGGCGTATAATATTTGGGGAGAGTCTTTAAAAGCTACCGCGGGTTACCCTATTCATCTCTCCTGTTTGTAATGTTTCAGATAATGAAAGCACTGTCAGCTTAAGTCTTCTGAATGAGAATGATGTATATCCAAGACACTCACCGATCTGAGTGGAATTTGTAGTGTGAGCATGCAATAAATTTCTAAACATGGAACTCTGGATTATCTGTCTGTTATAGCAACAAAAATTAGCCTTTAATTTTTTTGTTTTCTAGTTTTTAGCAGCTAAAGCTAGCAGCAAAAACTATACCCATACGTTCTTCAGGAAAATAATGCAATGAATTATAGATTTGAGGCACATAGAAGCTATAGCCTTTTAAAGTTTTAATGGCATATCAAAAGCAGGATAGTAAAGTAGTTAAGAGCATGGCTTGGAGGTAGATGGCAGGAGTTTGGAGCTTGATTCTGCTATTAACCATGTGACCTTCAGTAATTCTCTTAAACTCTATGGACTCAGTTTTCTTATAAAGAATCATAATACCCACATCATAAGATCATTATAAAAGTTAAATGAATTAACACTTGTCAAGTGCCCAGAATAGTGCATAGTAAAACTTTTTCCTATATATAGAGCTAAAATATATAGTTAAGAAGCATGTGCAAATTCTGATCTAAGACCCTAGCACAGAGCAAGTCGTCAATGAATGCTTTTTGTTATTACTGGTATTTAAAATAAAAATTAGTGAATAGCAATCAAGTAGTTGGCTGATAGCTTTCTCTGGGAAAGTCTGTTAAGAGATAGGAAAGTAAAAACAAGCAAAGGAGAAAATATAATTTTTTCTTTGGATTATGGGTAACAAAACCAGTGTCCACACAGGTGGATTTTACCTCTGGGAAGATGCCTGAACACATTGCTGTTACCTTCCCTTTCTAATCAAGTGTGTCCTGAGACAAGAAGCAGACAGCATCAAGAAATGGAAGAAGACAAACTAAAGCTTTTTCTTTAATTACCTCTATCATCGAGAGTAAAAGGAAATAATTCACCTGCAACTGAAGCCAAACACTCCTGCCAGTAAGAGATAAGAAGCTCTGGGCAATTTCATACAGCCCAGCAAAAGTTTCTTGAATTCTCATGACAAACTGGCCTTGGAATTTATCAGGATGATTATTCATGATAGTTATCTGAGATACCCATTATAAATATAGATTTCCAGAATATCAGGTGGTGGTGGGAGAGGAGAGCTCCTGGAATTCTGAATTTCAAACAAATTCTTTAGGAGATTCTTCTACTTGCTTACATTTGAGAACTTCAAATCCAGTCCTATAGTTTATATGAAGTAACTGAAATACCACTGCCACCTGGTGGCAGGATATACAAATTACAGGTTCCAATGTCATGTGATTGAATCACTAAATTTTTCAAGTCGTCTTTAAGTCACGTTTAATTCTTAGTCACCCCTGCCCTCTCCTAATCACAAACGCATTTTTGAGTTTTCTGGATTATCTGATGTAGACTTTATATAATTTGAACTCTAAGGACATAGCCTTTTACCATTTTAATTCATTCTTTTTGTTAAACTGAATTTGAAAATGGAATTTATTTTTCTTTAATTTTCTATATAAACTCTCATGACATATAATTAATTTGTAGAATAAAAGAAATTATATACACTTATAGAGTGTTCTGTTGGCAGCTCTCTGTCAGAGAATCTGAGAGACATAGAATCTTAAAGAGAGAGGGATGTCTGAGAGGAATGATTAGTTTTGCCTATTGGACTCTATGATTGTCTGTTAAAGTGGAAATAAAAAAACGAAATTGGTATTCAGGAAGTTTTTTCTTCTACTTTAAGAGAATCCTGACTTTTATTCACATATAGAAAGATGATGTCTTAAACTTTTAAATTGGAATAGACTTAGCTCTGCTGAGCTTAGATTCTTTCTGGTTTATGTTCTTCATGAGAATTGGTTACATAAGGCAAAATAAGAGCAGAAGAAAGTGTTGCATCCTTAAATATAACTGGTATTTCATAATGGATCATGGTATTCAAGCTTGTTTTATAGGAGTCAGTAAGAAGCAAGCGTGGTATAACATGACTGTGAAATTGGGCATCATCCCACTCAGGACCAGTGTGGCAGCTCCACAAAAGACAGTTTGGCAATGTTCAAGATGATTTACAAGAAAACATGGTATGTTCTCCATGAAAAATAAAATATGTATTAACAAACAGAATGCTCATAAATGAAATAGATGAAAATTACTTGCAGGTTGTCCACAGCTAACTTATTATTTGGCACCCTTGCAGCCTCTGTAAAAACAGTCTTTTGGATGGATTTGTGTAGCAATGATTTTTAAAACTAAAAATACATTATTGAGGTAAAATTTGTATAACATAAACCAAGCCATTTTAAAGTGAAAAATTCAGTGATATTTAGTACATTCAAAATGTTTTGCAACCAACACCTCTGTCTAGTTCCAAATGATTTTCTTCACTCCAAAAGGAAACTCCGTACCCATTAACCAGTTGATATACAATTGTTTTAAAATGGCACATGGAGTAAATTTCAAGAGGTTATAGAATTTCAGTTTGATATTTCAAAATAATGTTCAAAAGACCTCAATATATGGCCTTGTCTTGGCTTGAAGTGTTTGCATTCTTGCCAAAGCTTTTTTGGTCTAGCTATGTCAGTTGGAAGAGTTTATAATCAGAGGATTTAAAGAGTCTCACATGATGCAATCAAGCACAGTAGTTAAACTATGGGACTGATGAAAAGAATTCAATTGCATGTCAAGTATGGTCACTGGCTTTGAAAATAGTACAGAGAAAAGCCAACAAAAATGTGGGCAATGAGTCTGTGCATTCCTCATAAGCATTTTATTAGAAAAGAATGAGATTACCTATGCAAATTAGCGGGAAGATGTTTAGACAGAGGCGTTATGCCCACCCGCTTGAGGTATAAAAAGCCCTGTGCGAGACGAGACCTTCATTCACTCTTGGGTAACTTACCCTTCACAATCCATCTAAAGCCTTCTCAACTGCTGCCACCATGACTCGTTACTTCTGCTGTGGAAGCTACTTCCCAGGGTATCCCTACTATGGAACCAACTTCCACAGGACCTTCAGAGCCACCCCCTTGAACTGTGTTGTGCCTCTGGGCTCTCCCCTGAACTATGGCTGTGGATGCAATGGCTACAGCTCCCTGGGCTACGGCTTTGGTGGTAGCAACATCAACAACCTGGACTGCTGCTATGGTGGCAGCTTCTACAGGCCATGGGGCTCCGGCTCTGGCTTTGGCTACAGCACCTACTGATGGACCAATGGCTCCAGCGACTATAGGACTCTCAATCAATTCTCTGCAACCTGAAGAACAATGACTGTCTCTCTGACTTCCCACGTGCTTGGGTGATATGTCTTCCATCTTCTTGCTGACCTCTTGCTGTGGTCCTTATCTTTGATGCTGTTGGACAAGTCACCCAGGACTCAAGTACTGAACTGATACTCATCTACAGCCAAAGGAAGCAAGATGCATTTTTTGTCATACTTGAATTTAGCAGCGAAACTGTAGTTTGCCTCCCATGGTTGCTCTGCTCATGTATTATTAACTTCTACATCAACATTAATGTATTACAAATTGGGTGTGGGTAGGAAGGGGATTTTCTGTTAGTATCCTAATAAATCTATTTCCTTCAGCATAAAAATTTTTGTTCTGGTTATTTATTTTACTTTGCTTTTATGCTCTTGAATTCATCAACCAGTTTAAACCTGTAATGGTTCACTTTGACCAAATTTTATTCTGACTTCAGACTATATAGTCAGGATAGGGTGATGCCTTATGATTTTTTATTTTTATATTGATACTTCAATTTTAAAAACTCCCTGGAAACGTCCCAGATTTAACCCAGATATACTGCAATTGTTGGCATTTCTCAATGCTGATTATAAAGCAGGAACTTTTCTTAGCTGTCGAATGCTAAAACATGTTTTCTTTTCTCTTTTCGTTAGTGACACGATTCCATTTTGTTTCCTTTCTCCTTTCCTATTGCTTATAAAACTCAGTTCTGGTGAGATTTGAACCCCTCAGATTGTTGGAAGAATTGGAACTAAATCAACTTAGCTATTAAACTATCTTTAGGAGTTCCTAAAATTTGGTCAATAAAGGGAAGCCAACTACTAAAATCACATACCATTTTTAATCCTTTTTGATAGATGGATTTTATTTTCTCCATTTTCTTCATTTCTGATTATACATATAACTAGTACTAAAAATGAAGCGTTTATTCTTTGAAATAATAGCTGCCACCAAAAGCACTTGAAATGACATGTGGTCTGCACTTAGAAAATGCTTCCTGTCTTGTTTACTGAAAAATCTCTGCTTTATTGAAGCAAAATACTTCATGTTTGAATTAAAACTCATTCATTTATATATCATGTATTTATTGCACCTCTGCCTGAGAGAAGGTGCTTGATTGTTTGTTGACTTTACTTGTTAAATCTCTGCTGTATGGGTGCAAAATATTGTACAGTCCAATGTAAAGTTCTTGCATCAAGTATTGGGCAGTGGAAACACCGTGTTAATAGTTTTGCAGTTGTAAAAACACGTAGGCAGAGGTGTTTTTGGTCTAAAAAGCTGACTGTCTTCAAGATTTATTCATTGAAGAGGCACCCATCACATAGTATAACATAGCATTGGCTTAAGATTTGGGGACACAAATCTTAGAGATAACTAAAACACATCTTTGCCCTCAAGAATCAAATACACTTTATTCAATATTTAAAGGGCTTTTAATAGCCTCCTGTTTTATGTCAATCAGTGTGCTGTAAATAACTATCCAAAGACAGATAGATATTCTTTACTCATTTGCTTCCCAGGACTCAATATTGGAGACAGCCTGTGATAAGAACCATGTATATATACAAAGTGTTATAGGCTTGCATAGAAGGAAAGCTTCGGTATATAAACATGACCATGAGAGGGAGTACGTGTTACATATCAAGACAAATATGGCTGTGCAAATGGGAAAAAGAATAGGGCTATTTAAAGATGAAATAGACTATCACTGGCAAGACTCCAATACATAGGTAGAATGACCTGTTGATGGAGAGATTCCAGGGGTGTTAGGTACCGGACAGGTGATTTGAGATCTCTACCAACCATAAGACTCTAGATTCTATTCTTATGACTAACATTTATTTTCTATTTTAAGGCCATGTTTTTGTATTTTGTTAATTTTTATTTTGAAAATTTCAAACTTATGAAAAATTTGCTGTAATAGTGCAAAAAAGCCCTGCATTCTCAGGTTTACATTTTTCTCCATTGAATGTGTTATTACAAATAGTATATATGCTATATGATGTATGCATATAGTGTGTATCTATTTATCTATGTATGTATGTATGTATCTATCTATCTATCTATCTGTTTATCTGTCTATCTGTCTGTCTTTCCGTCCATCCATCCATCCATCCATCCATCCATCCATCCATCCATCCATCCGTCTATCTGGATAGCCACTCAGAATAGGTGGCAGGTATCATACCATTTATCTCAAGAACAAAGACAATATAACTATACAAATTAAAAATTTAATATTAGTATAATATTATTCTCTAACCCAAAGTGCATACTCAAATTTAATCACTTGTCTCACTAATGTCCTTTACGGCTTTCTCCCCCTGCACCTCAGGATGCAGTCCGGTATTGTGTAAGTCTCCTTAGTCTTCTTTAATCTGCACCAGTATCTCAACTTTTCTCTGCCTTTCTTGACCTCGACCAATTTGAATACTGCAGGCAGTCATTTCACAGAATTTATCTTGATTTGGGTTTGACTTTCCTCACAATTAGATTTATATCATGCACTTTTGTTGGAAACATCATAGAAGTGATGCTTTATCCTTCCCAGCACATCATATCAGGAGGCACATCATGTTGGTAAATGTAAATTTGGTTGATACTAACTTTAATCTCTTGGGGAAAGTTGCATCTTTCATATTTCTTTACTGTAAAGGTGCTCTTTCCCCTTTGTAATGAATAATTATTTTGTGCATTGATACTTTGACACTATATAAATATCTTATTTCTTATCAAGATTTTGTCAATTTTATGATTCATCCATAAATTTCTAATCTTATATTAATAAATCCCTTTACATTTATGCATTGGTTTTCTACTGTAAGAAAGAACTTTCTCTTTTCTCCATTTATTATCTTTTTGTTTGCTTATTTATATGTGCCAATGCTTATATCAGTAGGGGTTCATGGATTCTTATTTTGCTCAACATATAATAATAATAATCCACTAATATTTATTTTGATCTTCAAATTGCCTCAGATTTGGACAGTGGGAATACCTTTGATCTGGCTTCTATGTCCTTCGGAAATGTCCCCTATCACTATTTGATCATTTTCTTTCTTTCTGGCTCAACAAGATATTCCCGCCTGGCTCATCTTGGGCTTTTCAGCTCTAATCATAGAATCAGGGATTTCTCCCAGGAGTCCTGAGTTTTTAAAGTGCAAACTGGTATTTAGAAAGTAAGGGCCAGGCGCAGTGGCTCATACCTGTAATCCTAGCACTTTGGGAGCCTGAGGCAGTTGGATCACGAGGTCAAGAGATCAAGACCATCCTGGTTGCCATGGTAAGACCCTGTCTCTACTAGAAATACAAAAATTAGCCAAGCATGGTGGCACATGCCCATAGTTCCAGCTACTCAGTAGGCTGAGGCAGGAGAATCACTTGAACCCGGGAGGTGGACATTGCAGTGAGCCAAGGTCACGCCACTGCATTCCAGCCTGGCAACAGAGCAAGACTCCATCTCAAAAAAAAAAAAAAAAAAAAAGTAAGATATGGGTGCTAAGGGCACTCAATGCTGTGCTGTCATTGCTACATATCATATGCTATGACAATCATTGCTATGATTCTTAATTGTCCCTTCTGATTTAAGAATGACACCCTCAGAAGCTGCATTAGAGCTCTGTGTGTGGGAACAGAATTCACTGAGGGGCAGAATTTGCTTGAGGTAAAAGAGAGGCTGGCCTATTGGCAGGAGGAAGGTCTTCAAATGCCAGAGTGTAAAGGTCTTTTGTGCTGACCAAGTGACTACACCAGCGGCCTCAGTACTCCCTGTTCCTCAACTAGATTTCAGGTCACTTTTCCTCTGCTTCAGCCTTAATCCTGGCACTTATTATTCTTAGTGTTGTGAGTCTCTGTTCCGTCTGGGAGCTTGAAGGCTTGCTCCTTCCTTTAGCTCCCTCTTGTCACAGTTTCTGCTACGGCTCTTCTTTCTCTGTGATCTCCGTCATCTCCTTTGCAACTTCCAGAAATGTAGTTAACCTTTCTTCAATTGACATCATTCGTACAATTCTCTGTCATTATTGGCTTCCACTCCTTCACTCCTTTGCTATAATTTAATGGCTTCTGGGGAATAAGGAGGGCGGAATCTGTAGGTAACTCTGACAACTTGCACCTAAAAACCATAAATTCCTTAAAGAGGGCCAAGAGGGGCTAACAAGTTACAACAACAACTGGCTTTCTTTTGCAGCAAGAATGTGGCAGTTTCAATAATAGACAGTTTCATTATTTGCATAATAATTATTAGAGGTAGATTTTATTATCCTCTTATTACTGAAGATGCCAAAATTCAAAAGTAAAATAATTTGTTTCAGGCTATGTCATTCATTTGGGAAGAGGATTCCCTAGAGTTTTCATAAGCTTTCCAAAAAGATTTTAATAATTGTTAGGCTCTATTCTTTACCTTAATACCAAGTCCTTAGACTTTCCCTTCTCACTGTCTCTAAGAAATGTTGTCAGGACTTCATTCCCGATGCTTTTGCCTCAGTTCACACCTATTTCATTTCTTGCCTGGCTTAGTAGCCCAGCGACTTGTCCATGCTGCCAGGCAGTCTCCAATCCATCTTCCATACAGCAGGCACAACAATCTCTCAAAATGCAAGTCTAGTTATGTAGCTCTTTTCCACAAACTCTTTGGTGATTTTTAAAAAAAATTTCCACAGCTTTCAGGACAGTGATCAAGTAGATGCTCGCAGATCTACCAATTTTTCTAGCCTTATTTCCCACGTCTTAACGGGTTTCCTTTTCCCCTGTGGTGAGGCCTACCATGGTTTTTGTTCCCTTCCGCATTCTTTTTAATCTAGTGAACTCCTAGATTTCCTTCAAAAGGTCTCCCTCCACCCCAGGGTGCTTTCCTTTTCCCCGTTGAACAGTCTTGTCTCTGTTTACTTTGATGTCATATTGTTCACACTGCGCTGTTGAAGCCCACTGACCAAGAGCACCAGAAACACACCTACAGTCAAACAAGTTAGGCTCGTTAACTTGTCACAGCGGAGACCACAAAACACGAGAAGCTGCCAGATATCTCAATAAGAGAGTGTGAGGAGGGTTTTGTTACGGGATTTGGGCTTGAATTAGGTGATTTTCCAGAAGACTGAAGGAGGCAGAGGTCTCTTCTACAGTGCATATTTGTTTCCCATTGCCACGGTCACAAATTACCATAAATTTAGTGGCTTAAAACAACACAGATTTATTCTTGTATCGCTCTGGAGGTCAGAAGTTCCAAATGGGTCTTACTGGGCTCAAATCAAGGTGTTGGTAACACTGCACTCATTCTGGATGGTCTAGAGCAGAATTCACTTCCTTGCATTTTCTGCTTGAGGCTGCCTGCATTTCTTGGCTATGTCC